AAGCTTGTTATCATGAAAAAAGCCTATGAGAGGCCATTGGTGAAGACTATTTGCATCAGAAGATCCCAGCATACTGGAGATGCCAGTACCATGGGATGACTACCAAGAGTAGCAGCAGCAGTGGAGTGGAGTCAACCAGTGCTTGCTATACAGGGCAAAGCTAGATAAGTGACCCAAGCCTTTCAGTGAAGCCCAGAAGATCATGTGCAGATCCTATACATTGAAAAAGGAAGGTATAAAGTTGATGTTTCCTTGGATATCCCAAGATGTTAGAGATGTCAGAGATGTGGGATACCTGCTGAGGAAAGCTGCTAACAGGAAGTGGAAACAGGCCAAGAGAAAGAAGTTTGTTGCAGCCAACAAAGATGAAATGAGTTGGAGATCTGAAGAGCCCTTTGAAATAAGAGATGGAGATGCAGTATTTGAGTTTGCCCAGCTGGGTTTTGGTCTTACTTCAGTACAGTATTTTCTCACTGTGACATTTTGGAATGGTAATGTGTATCCTGTGATGTTGAAGGTATGTGATTTTCTTTATTGTATAGAAGATTACAGATAAGTGATTGGATGAATCTCAGAAGAGACTTTGAACTTTTAACATTGTTGAGATTGTTATAGACTATGAGACTTTTAAAGGCAGAGTAACGTATTTTGCATCATGCTACGGTTAGGTATGGTCCCCTATACTTATATGTTTGAACAAGGGTATGGGAGCCAGGGAGCGGAATGTGGTGGTTTGAATGTGTTTGGTCCAGAGAGTGGCCCTGGATCAAACACATTAGGAGCTGTAGCCTTGTTGGAGTAGGTGTGGCTTTGTTGGAGAACGTGTATCACTCTCATTCTTGGGGTGGGCTTTGAGACCCTCCTCCTAGCTGCTTGGAAGTCAGTCTTTTCCTGGTTCTCTTTGCAATAAGATGTAGAATGCTCATCTTCTCCTTCACCATGCCTGCCTGGATGCTGCTGCACTTCCTGCCTTGATGATAATGGACTGAACCTCTGAATCTGTAAGCTAGTCCCGGTTAAGCATTATCGTTTAAAAGAGTTGCCTTGATCCTGGTTCTCTTCATAGGAGTAGAAACCCTAACTAAGACAGTGACCTAGACAGGATGATGGAAGGTGAATAGTCATAGCAGTGAAGCAGTGTGTTTACTGTTGAGAACCTGTGGAAAGAAATTATCACAGGAAGAAAAGAAGACGCCATATTCAGTCCATGTAGTAGGCAGGGTATACCTTCAAGGCCTGGGGGATGGGGAGCCTGGCCAAGCCTTCCTTTGGGCAGATGGTACTTGTTCCCAGAGCAACATCATGGAGAGTGAGGTGTGTCCACAGAAGGAATATGGCAAAATGGACATCTGGGGATAAGGTAGGAAGGAAGAAAGGAAGGAAGGAAGGAAGGAAGGAAGGAAGGAAGGAAGGAAGGAAGGAA